GAGATGGTCAGGATGTAGCACTGGGTCTGGGCTAAAGTTTAAATGCTAAGTGTTTTAATGCTTCGTGTGAGTGTGTCCAGCTGATAGCAACACTGCAGCTAGCAGTAACAAGTCAGAGTTGTCTGGTGTGGAGTATCAGTGGAAGAGTGCTCATACCTTTGTTAGCCAGACGGACACAGTTGATTTTAGTCTCCTGTGAAGGAAAGACAGAGACAGTCAGGTCTCCTTAGTGAACCTCAGGTAAACAGAACAGAAAAAAAGTACTTTAACAACAAATACTTTGGTCACATGTTTTACACAGCATTTTTCCCACATCTACCTCTGACCTTCAGCCCGGTTTAACTGAAGGATTTCTCTAATGCTCCAAGTTCCCATTTAGTTCATTCACATGATTGAAAAACATATGTTATATATGATATAAAAAAGGCAGTGTTGTGGATGTGTGGCTGATAAGATGGTTTTTCAACATCCTTGTGGATTTGTAGCTTTATCTCCAGTGCTGAATGGTATTTGTCCTTCTAGTTGTTGTTGTTATTCTCCACATTTTTATTTTTCTGGCGTTGTGCTCACAGCCTCCTCTCTCTCTCTCTCTCTCTCTCTCTGTGTCTGTCTCTCTCTGTCTGTATGATGAGCTGTCAACACCTGAATGGGCTGATGCTGTTTCTTCACTCCAGCTTTTGGCCCAGTCCATTACCCACCTCCCCCCTCCCTCCTGTGATACGCTGACACCCTCAGTGGTGTTTATCTAGACCTGCTTGTCATACATGGGCTGACCTCTCCCTCATGTGTGAGACCCATTCATCTTCATCAAAGATGACAACTACAGCAGCAGCAGCGCCATCAGCAGCCAAACCTGTCACTTGTCACTTTGGTGTTTTCAACTCCTGTTGTTCCTAATGTTCATACAGTCACGCTGAGGACATGAAGAAATAAACCTGGGACATTCACGTTGTGTCTCCTCAGGTTTTTCAATAGTTTATTTGTAATAAACATCACAGCAGTTGGTGTTTTTCAAATGTAGGCTCTCCACTACAACACAATGGAAGAATTCTCTACCTTTTTTTTTCAACAATCCGAACCAGGATAACTAAGATATTAAAATAAAATTTCAATCTTCAACTGCCTTTGCTGAGCCACGCCCCCAAATTTGAGAACCATTTTTTCTCTACTACATATAGCGCTGCCTCTTTGTCTGTGATTCATCTTGGAGCTTCCATCTGAGATATTCCCTGTCCTCTGGTGTCTCCATTTGTCCTTTTGAGACATTTATTCCTCCTCCATATTTCACTCTCCCTCAGACTCTGATCACTCGCCTTCTTGTCTCTCAGCCATAACCTCTGGGATTTGCCTGAATATATATATGTGTGTGTGTGTGTGTGTGTGCGCTCATCTGGTTCTAAAGATCCATTTATTCCGACAAAATGTTGCATCAAATTACTCCGAGGTTCGGGAACCTTTGTGTGACATCACATGACATCAGAGCAGAAACGAGGTTCCCCAGTGGTCGGCTGTGTTATGTGCGGAGCATTGACTAATTGGCTCAGTGATAAGAGGCTGGCACTAAAGTGATGTCACCCCAGAGGGTGACGAGGGAGGCAGAGAGAGATGGAGGGGAGAGAGGACCACGGTACAAAAAGACCACATGTAAAGTAACAATAAAAGAAAGGGAATAAAACTGAGCAAACAAAAATGATGCAAACAGTGTTGGCATGGGGGGTGGAGGTGGGGGGGGGTGAATCATCAACAGAGGAAAGAAAAGGGCAAAGTAGATAGAAATGGATAGAAAGCAGTGGGAGGATGACAGAGAATAGAAATTGAACGATAACAAGGAAAACAGATGAGGTGAAGGAAGAAGATGAGGAGTGAAAAGGGCACAATGTGGAGGAAGAAGAAAATGATGGGGTTGTTTTTCTAAGAGGGCAGAACAGGATCAGGGGAGAAAATGATGGACAGATTGACAAAATCTGGCACAAAGGAGTAAAAACCCAAATGAAAAACATGTGGCTGAATGTCCGTCTTCCATCAGAGGAGAGAAAGAGACAGAAAGACGGAGAGACAGCAGTGAGGGAGTGAGGAGTGGGCTGACTGTCAAAACAAATTCCTCCAAATGTTCTCCAGGGAGAAACAGAAATGAAATGAAAGAGAACAAAATTGAATTACATCTGTTGGATCAAAGTGTCAAAAATATTCCAGTCCAATAAACTGAGAATTATTCCTGATATTTATCAGTGGTTTGGAAGTTTAGAGGACTCTTCACAAAGTTGACTGCTCCTTGGTGACACTTGGTGATTTTGGTGAAGGAACTGCTTTTAGAAAAATACATTTTCTTTCAAAATTAAAGGGATTAATTCTAGGGATTTAGAAAATGATTTTATTTATTATTGCTCATTACTGATTCATCTCTTCAGCACAGGCCGACTTTTCTTTTCTTATTTACTTTTCCACCAGCAGTGATGCTGCCGTTCATGACCTGAACAACACACAGGGCTGGATCAACTGAGATCCAATCAAATAAGACCATTTGACGTGACGAGTATGAACGGCTGCACACACACACACACACACTCTACTGTACTCATCTGTTCATGCACATAACCCCGGCCCTCCCCCTCCCCCTCCCCCTTCCTCTCTCATCACTCATCACCCAGTCAAGCAGACACTCTCCATGTGAGACCGTACTGGAAAAGAATATCACATCAGGGCATCAGCCAGCTTTGCTGGGCCGTGCTTGGCAAACTGAGTTACCGTGGTTACAGCAGTGGAAAATTAAAACAATCCTGGTAGGGTTCAAAGCATTATGGAAAAATAAAAAAAAGTTGTGAATGACTTATGAGGAGGAGAAGGGAGGCCCAGGTGGGTGGGCTGTTTGTGCAGCTGCAGACGAGATAATTGGCAGACAAAAGGAGCAGAGAGATGCAGAGATGAATTCTGGGAAGTAGAAGATTCCCACTGGGCCTTTTTTTATTTTCACTTATGTTAAGTAGCCTGACATTTAGCTTGACTGTGAACTTAAAAGGATATTTGAAAGGGCTTCTGTGTTGTAAGTTTCAGCTCTTATCACAGCGGCAGCTGAAGTTTTCTGGCCTGCGTGACATCAACTAAGTTTTTGAGTTTCTCAAAAGCTTTTAAAGGTTTCAAAAAACAAATGAGACAATTACAGTCTACACGGGGGTTCATGGCTTCAGCTGAGAAATAAAAAAAAATCAAAACAGCTGGATTTCAAATCTGAAGACATGTATGGTGTGGTGAAAAGTAAAAAAAAAAAACATGTCTGGAGTTACTGTGATCAAGAAATACTGGGTCCCTTTAACTGACACAACAAACAAAAGGTTTGTAGAGCAGGCGTGGGCAAACTTTCTGACTTGCGAGCCACAATTAGTCTAAAAATTCGACAGGGGGACCAGGTCAGGAGCAAAATGATGGAGTGTTCGTGTGCTAAGATAAATTACATGGACAATTCATGCATAAAGGCTAAAATGCTAAAATGCTTGGAAGATGTGGACATTGCAGGGAAATGGGAGAAGTAATGAAATCACAGTACAAACCAATTATATAATTTGGACAAGTTTGGCGGGCCGGTTTACAAAGCTGAATGGGCTGCATCCGGCCCCCGGGCCTTAGTTTGCCCATTCCTGTTCTAGAGGCTCAGACTTTAGATCGTTTTTTTGTCCAGTATTTTCTGGTCTGGTCGTAGGGAGACTCACCCCATTGGCTCTGCTCATGGCTTGGTAGTAGATGCTGTAGCTCTTGGCAGGAGATAGAGGGGGGTTCCAGAAACCTCCGTAGCTCTTGTTGTCACCGACAGTGAACGGCTGTACAACTGTCAGGCTGGAGGGTGGCAGATCAGCAGCAAAGTAGTAAGTGGAGTCCAGGATGGAGGCATTTCGATAGCTGAATGGGGCAGAAAAGCATTCTGGGGCTTCTGAGGCAGCACGGCGGGTCTTGGACTTGCGTTCCTCCTTCACAACAAGCTGATACGAGCTGGAAAGAGAAAATGCAGTTCTTAGGTGAAAGATATTTTAGAAAGAAAGATGTGGGGTTTTGGTCTTTGGGCTTTTTATGTAGCTTTGGTGTTAAAATATCCTTTAAGAACTAAATTGTTTCAATAAGAAACAATTGAAGGAAGGTGAATATCGTTAGTGGAAATCACTGCCAGTCAATTCAGTGTCAGTACTGCTTTAACTAAGAGGAGCAGGTCAGTGAATCACTTCAGTAGTGACTCATCCAGTCTCATTATCTAATCACCGTGGTCCTCTCCCTGTGATGAAAAAATTACATAAAACACATCTTCATTTATATTTTATTCAAACTTTTTGATTTTTTTCAATCCCGCCTCCTGTCTCCTTTCCTTCATTTCTCCAAAAATGCTTTATGCCTTGTCTCTTCACCAGGGGTCGCCACAGAGGTCATCCTTGTAGTGATTTTTGTTTCATAACACAATCCAACCTCAGATAGGAAACCAGGTGAAATCAAACCTGCAACCAGCTGCAGTTGTTCCTTAGTATTCACTGGTAAGCAGTGATCATTTTAGTATAACCTCACTAACTATTCACTGGTAAGCAGTGATCATTTTAATATAACCTCACTAACACTTATAACTTAGTCTTAGTCCCAATTTCAGTCAATGCAACTTCCTGTGTTAATTATATTATATAATAATATATATAATTATGTTATATAACTATGTTATATACAATGATTAATAATCCTGAAAATTAAAAGTGAGATTGTGCTTTTTACTATGTGAGGACAGAAGTGATCTGTTTTTTGTTTTTTGTAATTAGATTTTCTCTCCACCTGCATACTCTCTGTTTCAGCTGCACTTTGTCTCTGTGCACGCAGCAGGCTCTAACATATTTGTGCGTGTGATGAAGCAGGTGAGCATTAGTGCTTGTGTGTGTGGGTGCCGGCTCGTGTGCGTGTGTGTCCATTGGCTATGAGAGACTTCATGAATGGCTGAGAGCTCTTTTACCGGTCAGGACAAACGCAGCAGAACCTCCGCAATTACCTCCAGACTGCACTTCAAGAACTCACTACACAATTATACACAATTAGGGAAATGTATGTTTCTGTGAAGGGGGCAATTATCCCAGGCTCCCATTAGGCAGCTTTCATAAAAGATAATTGCCAGTGACCAAAGATGAGCCCTTACCTACCTGCTTCTTCTCCTTTGCCTGTATATTTGTGGTCTAATCCCTCATTTCAGCCGAATGTCTAAAGCACCGCAGGGTTAAATATGGCAGGAACTATGTTCCTAGGTAGTGTGTATATGTGTATATATGTGTGCTTTTACTCTGGGTGTTTGGCGACCTCGGTGGACACTCGTCATAAAACACAATCTGAATTTTTATGATTTCTAGTGTAGCATTTTGTTCCTCACGAAAACAGAATCAAGGTCGGGTTCAAATCCCAATCTGAGATGGGGGTCCTTCTGTTTTATTCCCCAAGCCTAAAACTGGGCATAAAATATTTGTTTAAGAACACTTGTGGTGTCTATGACACCTTTGTGAAAAGAAAAAAAAAAAAAAAAGACAACGACAGAACAACGTTCATCTAGTGGGAAGAATTCTCCGTCCACAAACAGACCACCACCAAAGTCTGGGACGATGACAGTGTCGGTTGAAAAAAAGGAGGTTGATGTTTACGTATGTAACAGGACAATAAATTAGACTTCAAAGACTACTCTGGCCGTGTTTCAGAAGTTCTGTTTTCAATGGGCCGTTGGCAGAGAGCCTCGACTGAAGCAGTCAATTCTCCAGAGACCAGACACTGATTGCCAAATGACTGTCAGTCCACGCTGGTGTTGCATCTTCATAATGCCGTTCCTAAAAAACTGCGAGACAAAAATGACTCACCATCCTGTACGCTGCTGCCAAATTTATTAGAAAGATGAAAATGAAGTTGCATTGTGAAACTTCTGCTGCATACAGAGCAGATAGACGGGTGTGAGTGATATTAATGGATTTCAAAACGACCCTTCAGGAAGATACCAAAGGAGGAGGGTGTCAGGGGGGAAAAAAAAAGGTCAGAGGAGGAGGGTGTCAGGGGGGAAAAAAAGGTCAGTCAGTGAAGAAGAAAATGGAGGAATCTTCAGGACATGGAAGAAGAGAGTCATGAAGAGAAGATCAGAGCTGTAGGACCTCCGTTACCTGATGGGAGCTCCTCGTGACTGGGCAGGCTTCAGGAGGATGGTGATGGTGGTCTCTGTCTCATTCAGTGGAGCCTCGGACTCGTACTCCGGCATCATTGGGGCTTTTGGGGTAAAAAAAAACATTTACTAAATATGCTGCAAAGTTTTTATTTTTCACAGAAGGATCAGAAAAGAGGAAAACAAGTTCCTGTTCCACAACAAAAGGACCATTAGCATATGAATGTGTGCCAGTACTTTGAGCTGGCTTTTTAAAGATGGAAAAAGGTTGAAGAGGTAAATGCTCTGACTTTTGTTTTGTTTGCCATTGATTTTTGATGGGCAAAAGGAAATTATTCAAACATTAGAGATAAAAAAGGAAAGGTGTGGAAAAAATATCAGTTATAAAAATATTAATTCAAAAGCAACAAACAACGGTGAGTGGCACAAACAAAACACAGAGCCTGTGATCGAAACTTTGATGTTTCACATTTACTGTGCCTCAACACAAAAATAGAAAATGGGATTATGTTTAATTGGAGAAACATAACAAAACGATAAAATAACGATAATAATAAGATTGGGTGAGATAAGGTTCCACACTAGGAAAATAGTGTGGATGGTTTAGAACCGGCTCACGTCCTCTGGTCCTTACTTATGCTTTAACTGTTTGGCAATTAATAATACTATAGTATATGCAGTGTTTGATAGTACATTTTTTGTGAACTCTTGTTTCAGCAGGCAGGTCGGTTGAGAACTGGGTTAGGGTTAGAGTTGGCACTACACTGACTTTGGTGCCAGGCCTCCATTCTGTGCTGTATTTTATAGGATTATTTATTATTTAGGATTTTTACCTGCTATCTTGGTGGTGATACGTGTGGTCACAGGTGGGCCGAAGCCCTTGTTGGTGGAGGCTTTGAGGCTGAAGAAGTAGGTGGTTCCTGGGTAGAGGCCCATGAACAGATGATGGGTTTCATTCTTCAGTTTGAACACCTGCCCCCTCTGGGTGGTCAAGTCCACGCTGGGATCCAAGGAGCTCAGGGCCTTGTAGGTGATCTGGGGGGATAAAAGAAACATCATTGGTCATTGTCTACTTTTGTCATAAATTATTTATTTATTTACTGGTTGAGTGTTCAGGGAAGTTAAAACTCGTAGCAGTCGGCTGACTTTGCTGCATCTGGACTCAAGATCCCACGATACTGCCAGTATAATGGGACTTGAACCTGTAAGAAGACTGGACTGTAGTCATTCAGTGGAACCAGAACCAAAGTCATTTCTTAAAGTAGTGTCTGAAAGTCTCTGGTATGTTCAACTTAAACATGTAGTGCTTGAAATTCTCAACTTGGGTTTGTAGTATTTAGTTTAAACAGGCAGTAGCTGTACTAGTAGTAGTAATAACTCCATCCATCCATCCATTTTCATCCGGTTATCCGTTAATGGGTCACAGGGACAGCAGTCTCCATGACCACCACCCAAATCACACTGCACCGTACCAACCCCCCTGAACCTTCCTGCAGGTGGTGAGTCCACTGGAAGGTACCAACCGCCCTAACCGGGATTCAATCTTGAACCCCGGTGTTCCACACCAATGACAGAGACATTGCCTCTGGGCCACAGCACCATAGTACTAACTCTATATGTCTTTTTCATGTTCTCCAGTTGTCTTTGACTTCATGTTTTCAAGTCCCATTAGCCCTAGACTGGGGAGCCCTAGGTCAAAGGAGACTGGTACCTTACTGTGTTGAGCTTTGTTTGTATACATCAACCATATGTTCTGCCTCTCTTTCACGAAAAACCACTAAGGTAAAAAGGAGGAATATTGAGGATGTTTAAGTCAGAGAACCCACATTGGCTTAAAATCTTCTCCATGCAGACCACGGTGCCTGATTCAGTGCTGTAATTATTCTTACTAAACTCGTTCATATTCAGTAAGTAATGATTCACATCATCACCATCTAATAATCACCAACAGCCACCCAGAATATTAACATCATCACCTGGATTCTGTTTCATGTTATCAACAAAACAGTGCGTTGTATTGACAGTGTGCTGTGTAGATGGAACCTAAAACACAAATCTCATTTAAAGAGCCAGTGACAAATACACTCTGTATTTGTCACTGGCTCTTTAAATGAGATTTTTGTTTTTCCTGCAGGACTTTTCACTCGGACACTGGAACAAATTGACAGAGTGACCCACGGTCACTAACCTGGCACACACACTTTAATGGCTCTTCACTTAAAACAACTGTCAATGTCTGTTGTAATGTTGCTACTGGCAAGTTTCCACACTGAACGCTGGCCAATAATTCAGACACACACACACACACGAACAACCCCCTGAGGACAGATGTCACTGTGAATGACAGTCGGAACAAAAGAAGAATGAACTGGCAGGAAAAAGATGTCACTGTGAATGACAGTCGGAACGGAAGACATTAATAGAAATTTGAACTAGAACACATTTGAGCTCCAGGACCGTGTGTGTGTGTGTGTGTGTGTGTGTGTCTGTGTCTGAATCTCTAAAACCACACACTCTATGAAACTAAACCAGGAATCAGCTTCACTGGTCGGTGCACTTAACTGACACAGACAGAATTTTTGCCCCCAACAAACCGTCCCATGGGAACAGTTGGCACCATAACAAGGGTGGGATTCAAACCTGATCCTTTTACCACGAGTGAACACGCTGCTCCAATCCCCCAAAAACACTAAACATCAACTTGCAAACGATTATTTTTTTCCGGGTGGAAGTGAAATTTCTGTATCAGTGTTGTTGCCTCACTACTTACGCCTAATGAATTTCATTAAAAACATTGTGTTTTACATACATTTACATGACATTAGATCTAGACATTTATAATTTTACTCCAGAGAGTTTCTAACAGAACTGTTTCTGTTGTGATGTTCGGTTCAGTGACAGAGGGAATAATAAGGAACATAGAGAAGGTGACCAAAATGACACCAAGGTGCAGTTCCATGTCTCACTTTACCCCTGCCCCTCACCCATCACCCCTCACCTCTTGTCGCTAGATTATAACATGTAACATGGAACCACATGTTTGACCACTGGAAGCCTCAGATCAAAAGCAGGAGCAGCCTTTTATATTTTTTTATCACATATTTTATCATTATTTTGGAACATACATTGCTTTTTCAGTTTTTTTTGTTGTTTCAGCCTCTAGATAAATCTTAAAAAATGTATGTATTTTTCTCCTAATATCCTTCAATATAGGTTTAGCGGCTAAACCTTTAGCCAATGCACATAAGAGTGTGAAATGAAGCCAGGGAGCGACAGTGCAGCACGTCTCTGAAGACTGAAGGTTAGCCTGGGCGGCTGAATAAAACATGTTAAATCAATAGCTATTTATACAGACTGGGACTTGTGGGATGGAACAATAAAATATTATCTATTTCATCTACGCTGCAGTTTTGGTTTGCATATCGATGGATGTTATTTTATGAGCCATGAATGGCTCTGTATATTTTTATAGGCCTTCCACTCAGTGACTGCAGCGACTGCAGTGTTCAGTAACTCTTTCTTCTCCTCTGTTTGTTTGTTAAGATGTAAACTCTCTGCCTCTGTTTTATCACTTTAACCACTGGGGTTAATATTTTCTGTCTCTTGACCCAGTTTTTCACTTTTTTTTTTTTTTACTTCTGATTCAGTAAGTCCTTTAGGTCATAAAACACACCTTTACACACAGGCACACACACACACCTTCAGGTCACTGCACACAGCTTCTTTTTCTCCGTCCCCTTTTATTATTAATGTGCTTGGAATCGGTAGAGCCATAAAGCTCTTGTTGTTTTATTGGCCAATGAAAAGGCAGCCACGCCACATGGCAGTGCTTCCTGGGTAATGGAGAGTGTGTATGTCTGTGGGGATAACTAATAGAAAGTAAGGGGTGTGTGTGTGTGCGTTTGTGTGTGTGTAGCTGACTGAATCAGAGACTGAGGCAGAGAAATGTGGACAGAAGCTGCTCTGGGACATAAACTCAAGTCTGGACACTTTCAGACAGTCCTGGAATTTATCTGTAAGAACGGAGAGTTGGGCCGCACACGCCTGCCAACGCCTCTATTAGGCCATGTCCGCACGAGAACGCTCTCGTTTTTTTTACAGGGCTGGTAACGGAATTCTGGGCGAAACCAATGTAATACAGAGGCCACACCTGTATGTGGCGCTGTAAACAGACATAGACAAAGCCACCAGACACTAGAAGAAGAAAAAGGGTATCCACATAAAATACATCAGTTTTCTGCTACACACCAAAAACACATGATGATGATGATGGTGATGGTGATGATGATGATGATGATGATGATGATGATGATGATGATGATGATGATGATGATGATGATGATGATGATGATGATGATGGCGATGGTGATGATGATGATGGCGACCGCAGGAAAAAATATAAGTCTCTAGTCTGGACAGTTGTTTCTCTGAGTGACTTTGGACTATAAGACCAGTCAATATCAAACCATTATTGCTGTTACTGTCTGCAGGATCCTGAGTTGTTCTTGTCACGTGACAGTGAAGGGACGACGATGTTAACATTGAAATAAAAAGGTGGTTCAACTGTTCCCATAATAAACGACACAATAAACGACACAGGCAAGGCGGCGTTGTCAGATTTCCCCACACTGGAACCTGTTGTGTTCCCAGAATTCCTGTTGTGTTCCCAGAATTCTGGGGGTGTCGTCTGCGAACTGAGAGATGCAAAAGGCTGTAGGGCTGTGGTAATAACTGTTGTGTTAAGTGTGGATGACTTTATGGACGGATGGATCAACTGAAGACCACAAACATCCTGGACCACCGTGGAAAACCCTCTGGAATTTGTTTTTAGCCACAGGGACGTTTTTACAGGTGACACATAGTACACACTAAAGTGTGTGTGTGTGTGTGTGTGCAGCATTGTGTTTGTTCATGCAGGAGATCGATGCTGGTTAATATCAAAAGCCATTGCTTCCACCCAGCAGCCATCTTCATCAATCACACCATCATGGCTGAGTGTATGTGTGTGTGTGTTCGCCCTACTAAGCTACAGCCATGGTTTATGGAAATAAACAAAGTTTATGAGGCTGCGTTGTGGGACTGCTGCTGCTGAAATGCTGTTTCTATTCAGTTTTGTCATTTTCCATTTTTTACTCTCCTCGCTCCTGTTTCTTTTATTAGAAAATACGCCGTGGCTTCATTTCTTTACTATCTCACCGTCTCACCGCTCTGTCATGTTGAGTTATAGAGAAACTACTGTGAGTTGTTTGTCTTTCCTGCAACACTATACACTTGAGTGAAGTTTCCAATTGTTTACTGGTCTTTTCTGGTTCCATTTAATAGATGCACTCATCTGAGGCAGATTACAGCTTCAAATAAATGGACTGGGATTCAGGTGCTATTTTTTAGTGCAGTCACTGAAGATGTGACAAACACAGAGCTTTTAAAGTTTCTGACCCTTAGCTTGACATTCAGCAAAAACTCTGGCTTTTTGTTTTATTCTTTTGTGTCACAGGTTCAGACTGGATTGTCTGTGATGAAAATACTGCTGGATTTGACCCTTGAATGTTCATGAACTCTACTATTGACAGTCATAACATTGAAGTCCCTTCACTTTTGATGGTTATTGCTATGGAAAAATAGCACAAGGAGACAAGTCTGCTCTTTAGTCTTTGTTCATGTTCAGTTGATCAGTTTAGTGCGAACAGTTAGCCTAAACCTGCATGTTTCACTCTCCATAAGGAAAGACCAGGATTTGAACTCCCTGCTGTGAGGCAAGAGCACAGTCCACTCTGCTACTGTGAGGCCCTGCTCAGCTCCTTTCTCTCTTCCTCTCTCTGTCCTGATTTTTAAACCACTCTACAGTGTTAAAGGGCAGAGACTGGACTGATTCACAGCAGCTGTCCTCAAATGAATAAAACAGTGGAAGAAAGTCCCCAAAAATTTAAGTCCTGACATTTCTGTTTTTAGAAGTTTCCATGTGGGGCAAAGTGTTCCTCTGGCTTCCTGCATTAAAATGTCAGGACATTCTGGGTCACTATACAAATACCTCAGCA